AACATAGTGTTTCCCCTCCTCAAAAATGAAGACACTCAAGCAACAACAACAGAAACTCCAAGGGTGTCGACTAATTCAGTGTTTTAAAGTGGGTGGAGGTATCAGTCTGCTCACCTTTTTAATCTTCAAATCTACATCTGGAACGGGCACATTTTTTTCCATCTGCAAATAACATCTGCAGCTAAAAGCCCAGACAGGTAGTTAGAGCTGATTGGTCATGGATGGATTCCCCCCACCCCCCACCCTCTCTCCTTCTCCTTCTCTCTCTCTTCTTCTCTCTTTTTTCCTCTCTACAAAGCCCAGAGGCTAGTATTTCACTGATTACAGAGTCCCTTCATTTGAATGGCCATTTGTGTATTGTCAGAACAAAGGGGTGAGGAGGCTATAAAGAGGTGCTAGACAGGGGAATGGATTGGGCTCAACCATTAGGCTGAGTAGAGTTGCAGGTTGAGGATAGCTGCAGGGGTACCCTCCTGCGCTGAGGGGGCTCCTCCTACCTACTGCGGCTGCTGCTATCGCTAAGAAGCTACATGGCTTACTGGCAGTCCATCAGAAGGGGCATTGTATCGAACCCTAGCCACACAGCTGACCTCTAGGAGTGAAATGGGACTACATTCTCAGGGCCCACCACTACCTGAGGAAGTATACTCGCCCACCCCACAGTTTAATAGCAATTAGATGGGTTGATCCATTCTGTTGACAGGTTTTTACCTTTAAACACTCACTAAATACTTCTCGCCCGCTGACTTGAAGGTAATGACTTCAAATCAAAGTATTTACCGCCTTAGGTGGGTTGACTAGGTCATGAGGTTGGAGGGCTGTGGCGACGACACGGGTACAATCTCATAGAAGCCTCTTTTTGTAGGTGTTTTTAAATTGTTGTTGAAGTTACAAAATGGTTACGCATTTAGACACAGACACTTCTTTCAAATATATGGTTGTGTATGTACAGCTGTATAACTTTTTTCTACACTTTCCAGTCTTCAAAACTGAACGATGGGAGTATGGATTGAGTCAAGCATTCTGACCAGGTTCTCCAAGTCTTGCAGCAATTTTATGCCACATTACCAACAACCAGCTCCTTAAATTGGTAATTACAGCAATCCAACAAACAATTAGGGGGTCATTTCGATGCAGAAAAACTTCAACAGCTGACAACAAACCACTTACGTCATTTTGCTCCCTGAAACGTCTTTCACCAGTCCACCCAATTCTTAGCAGTTATTATGTCGTTAACGGATAACTCATATAATTCAGCATTGGTTTGAAAGCATAAATGAGCCCCCAACATTAGCCTCTGCTATCCAAGTGACTCTTCATATTCTGCCAAAGATACAAAATGGACCAGAAAACTAGAGGTATGTGGCTCATTGATCAGTGTAATGAAACGATTGTTTTTACTACATCATGACACTTTTTGGCAGTTGCGTTTTTCACCATCCATTAACCTGGAGCCTGAGAGTAATTGTAAGAGGAGTTTAGTGAGGCGTGCAAATACATCATGAAATGATATCATATGTTAGAAACTAGCGGCGAGGGAGCCATATTGTGTGTTTGTTTTTTGTGTGTGTACTTAGGACCTCTGTTGAACTGAGAGGGGGAAATATCATCATTAGTGTCATGCTGGGTACTGAAGCTAATGGATTTGTCAATAGGTTCTGCATGTATCGCGGTGCTCCGAGATGATTTGTCGAGGAGCAACAATTTAATTATGACCCCACACTCACATGGCCTCTTTCTTTCTCTCTCACACACACATACTGTGGCCCCCAACTTCAAGGCACACACACCCACACACACTGTGGCCCCAAACTTCAAGGCAAAGATGCCCAAAATGACTCCAAGCAAACAACATGTGATGGGGGACAAATTACAAAATGCTTCCCGGCTTTTCTCCAAGGCTCTCTCGCCCTCTCTCTCTCAGCGACACTCTTCTGGGCACTCTCTCCGTCACCCTATTGCACACCGAGGTGTCGCGACCCCGCGGTGACCTGCTCCTGACTAGCCCACATTACGCCACGGGACTCCGGGGGCCCAGGGCCAAAGAGCTAAGCCAACAGTGTGAAAGGGGCGCCAATATACTAATGGGGTTGGGTTGATTCCTGGGAGATGAGAGGAAGAGGCTATCCCCGCCTCTTCACACACTCGTTGGGCTGTGACTTGGAGTGAAAAGGGTCTGGACGGCTTATACGAGCCACTAGGTCCTTCTCGGCCGTCCCCTCACCTTGAGAATTCAATAGGATGCAGATGCCCCCAAAACTCTCCACCCGACCCCCCCAGTCGATATGTTCGTGTCAGAGATGAAAGTGGGAAGTGAGGGGAGGGTGGCAGGGGGGTCCTGACACTAATATAGTACATTGGAATTCACTTACAGAACTTCCAAGTTCTTTTGTCAAGCTTAAAGGCCTGCTAGGCCCTTTGAACCCCTGGCTGACCGCCCTCGGATAGCTCCCCCCCCCCCCCCCCCCCCCGCCTTTTTTTATCTAGCGTCAATGAAATATTCTCCACATTCCTAATGACCGTCACGACACAGTCTCAGACATCTACCGGTAGCGATGATGGTGGAAAGCCGCAGTACATTTTGTAGCAAACTTTATTTTGCAGCTGTGGGGTTTATCCCAAGACCATTAGCTTACTTGCTTGTTCTTTTCTTCACTCAGTCAGTCGCTGTGGGTAAACTTTGTGGGTAACCTAATCCTAACTCTTGAGTTGCTGGCTTACCTGCCCACCTCCCCCTCCTCAGAAGGACTGAGACAGCTCTCCATTCATAAACCTCAACTATAGTCATTGTCAACCAGTAGGCTCAACTTTCCACCCAAGAAAATTCTCAATTGTTGATCACAATTCTGACCAACCTTCATAGCCACTTAGTCTACATGCTAAATGTAAATGTTTCTAAGAATAAATCTGACATAAGCCGTAGTTCCTGTGGCTTAATGTGACTGATTAGAGTCCATGGTTAATGTATCCTCCATCCTAGAATAAACTATGGAATGGAAAAGTTTCTCAATGTGTTATACCTGCTGTAACGTGGTTCTACCAGAAGGGTAGATACCATATAAATGCCATAAAACAGTGAACGAGGACTTTTTATTTTTACAAGTCTTCATCATTTGTTTCAAAGTGCCACCAAGCTTTTCGACATCTGGCAAGGCCAGTAGAAAAACTGTTAACTTCAAATTAAAAAGTGAAAATGTGCAGGTAAGCAGTATGCAGGAGCTTCTGCTTTTGAAGCTTGTCACAAGTGTCACACAGGTGAGCAGCACAATAAAGACACAGCCCTGTTCACTCTGTTCCATAGCTCCTGGTTTATACTTCAAGGTATTGTCACCAGCCTGTGCTTTGGAGGTGATGAGTGACTACTCAATGCTGGCTCCTTTGTGCAGTATCATAATTATTGTTCATTATGCCTGTGGTTTTAATCACTTTTCAAAAAGCTTCATTTTGGACTGCCAGCCAATGCCTCAAACATATTGTATTTTGTTGATTGTAAGTATTTTGGATGTACACCAAATGGAAGCCCCAGGTCAATCTAATCATCAGGCATGCACACCTTGTGTTTATTCAACTGTTCCTATCATAAATTATTATATTTTGTGCAATTCGTTTTTTGTTTTTTATGTTGTCAATGGAGGAACTAGGAGTTTTGAATTCTGGTAATACATATGTATTTTACATAGGCACAGAATTGCACAATTTGGGGGATAATATTGTGACATTATACTGATTCACACAGCCATCCTCATTCTTGCCGGCTATTCAAAGTACAATCAACTATAGTTTAAATGGTTACCACTAACCCTATGGGAAAAATTTGAAATTTCATTTTAAATGCAATGAGGATGGAATGCTGTAATTCCCGTTGTAATAGGACAATAAAGGGGAATCACACAATGGTCCTAAGTGGCGGGAGGCCACTGCGAGTTCAGAGGGCCTCGTAAACACATTCACACCTCTCTTTCATTTAAATGCAGGATAAGTTATAGCACATTATTGAAAAATCGTGTTCCACAACAACCTGCATTTCAATGCTGTCTGGGAGAGTAAAGCCCAATCCACAAACGAAGTGGCCTCCAACATAACCTGAAAACAAGGGAAGCCGAGAAAGAGTAGTCTTGACTGCTGCCTAACCAACTCCCGCACTCAATTTTGTAATATTGTGTTCTGAAAATACATGGCCTCCATGATACATTATTTCTCATTACAAAGGTAATACAACAAACACAACTGCAATAATAAACTAATAATAATAACATTAATAATTACGATATTAATAATACTAATAATGAAGAACAAATGTTTTAAAAAATAGCCTTTATGAATAATACAAAATATGATTTAAGAAAAAATAGCTTCCAATGGGAATCCAGTATTCGCCCAAGTAAGCTATTTTGAACTTGAAATAGGCCTACACCTGCATTTAAGGTAATATCGAATATAAAATTAACCTATATACAAAAGTCTCTAAAAAAGGTAAAAACAAGTCCATCAATTCGTGTGTTCCTCCTTGTACCAACTCCCTCCCAAGCACTATAATTTCTGACTAGAGGAAAACATTCTCCATACTGATGGTCTCTCAAAGATTACCCTATCAGGTGCAAACCGCTGACAAGTTTCCACCCACCACCAACAGAACAACCTCACTGTGCCCAAATCCTTAGCCGCAGATACTCCACTGACAGGCATTACACCATCGCCCCTGCAACGAAGATCTGCCGCTGAGTTAGATTCAGGTTTCATATTTATAGCTACCTTCTGGATAACACTGACTTTTTATCAGAACGCGAGGTATTCTGCCTAACATTTTTTCAATTTTCCTATTCGATTTTATGCACTTTTGCCATTTTCCCACTGTGGAGTCGGAAGATTAAAAATGATCCATGCAATGTAGATATCACCCGCAGGTACGGACGGAACTGAAGTACCTCTGATCTTTGGAGCAGCACCTTTAGGGAGGAAAGAGTGTGCGCGCAATGGATTTTTAAACAAGGGGAAATCTACTAAGCAATGGTTGCTAATTGAATATTTCCGCGCCTGGAAGATACCGCTGTCTAAACGGACCGTGAGAGCGGAGCTAGGAGATTTGGAGGCGGACAAGAAACAATACGCTACCTTTTCCCTCTGGATCATTTTCTTACAACAAGGAAGCACCTAATGTTGCGTTCAGTGACATTTTTGCACTCCAGTTATTTATCATTACACTGGGATTCAAAGACACCTCCGGGATTGTTTGCGTAAGGACGCTGGCGGGTCTATCATCAACTTCTCTCGGGGCTTTAAAACTGTGGAAACAGGTGTATTTCAGCAAGTCAAGATGTCTGTTGTGCCTTCGAGGTTCATATACCTGTAAGGATTCCATCTTTCTATTCCTTTCGTTTCTCAAAACACGTACATTCTTACCAATAGAAGTCGCTAAAAGCTACATAGTTGCTACGGTTGACATTCAGGTATGGCTATAGCCGTTTATATTTTATGTAATTGCTTGTGATTTACCCCCTCCTCCTTTTTCTCTCTCCAGGTGTTTACATTTTCTGGTCCTCTATTTCCAGCTCCAGGTAGGTTGATTTGATTGTTCTGATTTTGAACACTGTGTGTGTGTGTGATTTTGCAGCACCCATTCTGGATTTATTATGAACACGTACTCATACAATTGGATACTGTAACTATACACTATTTTAGCTTCTGGGCACTTGGCAACCTTTAACATACGGTGGTTAGACGCGCTGGTTATTTTTCTCAGATTTCAGTTACTTTAATTAGATAAGATTAACACAATTCCCTAATTAAAGATCGATGTTTATTGTTCATTAAATAAAAATACAAGCAAAGTAACTCTACCCTCGTTAAAATATAGTAAATTTTATGGTAAGGAAATAGGTTTGGAATGTAGAGGAAACTATCCTATTGCATCTCACTAATGAACGAGGCGTCCTCGAGTGCACCAGATAAGCCCACAGCTCACAATTGAGCCAGGCAACCATAATTGAGACAGAGAAAAAGATGAGATGAAAATACATTTGAAGGACATTTAGATTTTGATCAATTTCAGCCTCGTGGATCTATTTTGTAATAATAGTATAAACTGCACTAACCGCGCATCTTTTACGCATGCGATTTATTTGTTAACTTGGTTGTCTATAGCAAACGTCAGTAAAAATCCACATTCTTCATTATTATGAAGTGTAACATGCTGCATGGAGATAGAATCAATTGCTTAACTGTTGTCTAGTATAAAAAAATAATGTATTTGCGTTTTGAGCATGAATGTATTGGTTATTTTTAGTTAAGTGTATTTGTCATTATGTATTTGGTGTAAATGAAATCAGAAACAAAGTGTAGTTTGGAAACCAGCATGTTATATTGTTAGATACAGTGAGAGGCAGCAGTTAGCCCAAGTCCTGCAATGCTTCCATGCCTCTTTTATTGGGGTTTGTTTTGTAGTCTAGTCAGCATCATATACCAGGGTTGATGCCAATCAAATCTCTCAGGGATTACAGAGAATTACTCGAATTTTCCCCTGTCTCCAATTTAATGCTTATTAAAAGTAATTAAAACAAGATTGCTGGCTATTTATACAGGGATAAGTAATTACATACAATGTGCCCAATCCCTTCCCCCTGATTGAGGTGATAAGATATCACCTAGTTTAAAATCTTAACATTTCCAGAGTTGCTTCAACAAGTAATCCTTTGCATTGAAAATGAGGATTAAGATTGTCAACAAACAACTCATGCCAAACAAATTATTAATGGAGAGGCCCAATCCATCCAATGATGCTGCAATAGATGAAGACATAGAGTACAATCCCTCATTCTACCTTTTGGACATCACGTCTCTGTCAGAGATGTTCTAAACAAATAGGTCAAGGGGTCATGATTATAAAACCTGGCATTACCATTTCATAATAAAGGGGACATCTTACAAAGACACCCCTCAGCAAGGAAAAAAGCTGGGGGTTTAAAAAAAAAAAAGGAGACAACTGGGTTACGTAAGGGTATGTGTTCTTGTTCCAAAGGAATTGGCAAAAACAACGCTATAGTGTCAACTGTCTGATATCTCCCCCAACCTAGACAGTAATTACAATACTATAGTTTTAATTGCTACCCATATCTGTGGTGAGATATACCAATATGCTTCTTGCTTTGCATGACTAATTGCTTCTGCAAAGAAGAGGTTGGTCAGAAGGAAGTCTCATAGAGGCTTTCTTGAAGAAAATACACTTTAGATAGACCAATACAATTGTGTAGCACAACCTTGATGGCATGTAGACTGTTTTGTAGACCTGTGTGTGTGTTAAGCAGATGGTACGGTTTATTTGAGATGCAGGGGGCTAAGCTTCCCAGCAAAGATGTTGCCAGACTTTTAAAGTTTCAACCATACCCATTTTCGTCCCCTGTCTTTGAAGAGGGAGACGGCTCGCTAAAATGTTTTGTCGATTGCGTTTACCTCGGCCCTCTGCAGACGCTTGCCTTTGTTTCCTCCCATGTGAAATGCAACTGTCTACAAAACACACCTTTATGTTTGTTTAGAGATGGAGAGATTTGGTACAAATCCCAAAGCAGTAGTTATCCGAAAAGTATTTTTTAGTGAATGCTGGCTTGGTGGTGAACTTTGGGGGGTAGTGTAATGGACAGACAATGTCATTCTAGGGTTGTGGAAGCTCTATTAAGATGCTCTATTGGATTTGGATGCTCTATGATCGTTTTGAATGGTCTTTTAGAGTTGTGGACGCTTTACTAGAGTTGTAGATGCTCTATTGGATGCTCTATTTTTTAGGAACGAAAGTAAGAGGTGTGTTATAATAACTTTCTTAATGTTCCTCCGCCTAAGCATTGACTAAATTCAAGGGAAGTTTGATAAAGAGATTTCAATAAGATTTTATTTATTGATTAAGATGCATCTTTGTTTTAGGCAAACAACTTTATTTTAGTGTTATACCATGGCATTGTTTAATATTTGTTTCTGATTGCTTGAAGGGCATTCTAGAGCGTGCATTATTTCCCTATAACTCACTGTATATTTGCACGGTAGAATTGAATGGCTATAGTTCATTGTTACATGTTCTATGTTTGAGCTGCTTTTGAAAGCAAAAGTCGAATTGAAAACATTATTGGCATTGTTGAATTCGATTTTCATAATAGCAAGCTAGGACTGATGGTTTGGTTAGCTAAACCAGCAAGTCTGTTTGTTTGGTTACCACGTCAACTACTGTTGCTATCTAGTAAACTTGCTAGCTACTTCAGTGGATGTTGAGCACATTTCTACCGGCAAATGAACACATTTCTAGCGGCAAATGTGTTAAATTATAGCCATGGTATAAAAGGGATAATCAGCTTGGGGCTCTATGCGTTCTCTGGAAAGGAATGCAACTCAGTGGAAGGTCAGTTCCACTCCACTAGCGTGTCGTGGAACACAACTTCCACGTCATTCATTCATTTTCATAGAAAGCATAGCCCCTTGTTGATTATATGTTTTAATTCATATACTTGCTATTGTTTTTAGACCATCCAAAAGTGACTGCTTCTTAGTTCCTTTAATATTTGCTGACACCTTGTCAGCCATGATGTAGCTTCAAACTACTGGGATTTGTATTCAGACCAGTGGTTTGTTTTCCCCCCTGTGTTAAAGATTTGTTCTACCATGAGCATATTTTCCCCTCTCATTCACTAAATGTCATTAATTTGCTGAGGTTAAAACAACAAGGAGTTAGAGTATGTAATGTGTATATAATTAGCCACCTGAGAGAAGCCACATAAAAGGCTGTTACTATGTAATTACCACACGATACAGCTGGGGAACGGGATCTTGGCGCAAATCGAGATTCCAGGGGTTTCGAAAGTATACGTTATCCTTCCCATCCACATATGGGGTTGGGTGACAGGGCACACAGGCTGCGTTCATTTTCATGTGTTGTCAAAGTCCGTTTTTTTAGGCCCTGACTTGTAAGTGCGGAAACAGACCTTTGCATTCAGGCTAACAGTGTGAAATATTTGAATGGGTGAATTTATGTTACAAGATGCTCCCTCCGAGTATGTTTTTGTGGTACAAGCTGCCTCTCGCCATCACATCCACATCTCCACTGTGATTTATGGGCCTTACTGGGCCCTAGGGCAGATATTTGTTTGATGATAGTGTAACAGTTCTGAATGCTTCAGGTGTATAATTGCTAGTGGCTTGCTTGTGGAAATGGAATACTGTTCTCAATATATCCCCGGGCGCATAGTATACAGCTACCTTAATACAAAGACATGCAATGATAATGAAGCATGTACCATGTTGTGATTTTGTTCTCGGTGAACTTCTACAGTATGTGCCCTTCGAATTTGTACAATGCCTCACAGTTTCATTACCTTGTAAACATGTCGTGAAGAAGATACGTGTCAGTTTTAATGTGCAAACTGAACTTAAAATGTCAGCTTACAACATCCAAGGTGTTACCTCAGTTGCTGGCCATTAAGCAGAGCTTCATGACAGAGGCCCTAGTAAAAGCTGGTCTATGACCACCTGTGTCATGTCTTTCTCCTCCAGGAATCTCAACAGAGCTCAGCCGATTTCAGGATCTATATCGAGAACCACACGCGGAACCCGGACGACCTGAGCCGGAAGCAGATCCGTATCTACCAGCTGTACAGCCACACCACGGGCAAGCACGTCCAGATCCTGGGCAAGAAGGTCAACGCCAACGGAGACGATGGGGGCAAGTACGGTACGGGAGAATTCCTGTGCACTTCACTTACAGACGCTTCAGCCAGTTCCCCTCATCAATGGTCTTTATTGTGGGAATTATCTCATGTGAACCAGGATTCGTTCGACCTATTTTGGACCGCTACTGGTCAGAGTTGGGTTTACATTTTTAATGAGTGAACTTTGACCCTAACTCAGCTACTAACTGATTGCTTGGTTAAGCCATTAAGATGATGAATAGTGTGGGAATTTGAGGCTATGAGCGTGTCCGGCCACTGATAAAGCACGTCCGGCCACAGATAAAGCACATCTAGAGATACTGTATATATTAAATCTCAGCTGTGTTCCTTACACTGTTCTGGTCAGTGATCATATTGAGGTGGAAATACAGCTATCTGATTGTTGTCATGGAAAGTAATTCTGTGTGATGCCTGGCATAGTTCTTTTCAACTCTACGAAGAGTTTATCAGTTGCTATATTCACTACTTGTCACTGTGGACATGGCCCATTTTCTATTAAAAGTTGGGCTGTGGTCTAGACGCGTTTGTATGGGAGTGCTTGCCTGTTTGCGCTCACATGTATGAGTCGCCAACAAGCACCGTCGGTCGACTGTGTTCAGTCACAGATGCACTGAGGCGAGGTTTCCTCTCGTTGCTTGTTAGAGCTTGAGTGGAAGCAGATTCAATGTTTCCCATGAGGAATTGCCAACCCTGCCCCCTCCCCTCAGCCCCAGTACCTGGCACCTGTGAACTCCCTGACACTGATTTAACAGGAGGCTCGGGAAGACACTCTTCTCTACTCTCTGCACTAATCCTCACTCAGTCATAACAGCAACCTCACAATGGAGGGTCAGAAAGCACGGCTGAGAAATGGAGCCTCTGCTACTACAAGGTCAGCTACCCCACATATGCACGCGGATAAGAGGGTTATAATTCTCCCCAGGCAGCAGTGCTTGCCTTCAAGAAAAGTGGGCTATAGAATGTGTCACACGCAATCCCACATAATTGATGTCACCATTTGTCCGATAGCATCTTATATATCTAAATGCATAGTCACATTTGTAAAAATCCATGTGAAACAGGCAAAAGTAGTTTTTTTAAAAGGCAGTTGTTGCACCTGTAGTTTCCAGTTGCAATTGAAGTCTCCAGTGGTACTTGCACAAGTCCACCCTCGGCACATTCGTTTGCGATTCAGCACTGAGAATGCTGTGGGGTTTCTAAAGCTTGGCCGCAGTGAGCGACACTACACTTAAACCCTCTTCAATCTGGGATATCACGGTACAGCTTGCTTTTTTCCATTGTAGTATGGAAGAGGGGAAGCTAAGTGGAGACTTGTGGCCATCTCTGTCCCAGCTCCTCCAACTCCTCTCAGGAGCTCCATTCTGTTTCTCAAACCAGACCTCCTGTTCTTTCAGAGAAGTCTCACCACAGTAATTCTATCCTCTTTGCTCCCTGGTGGAAAGAGAGGGATGTCTTCTTCCCTCTCTCTCTCAATGTCAGTTCTCAGACGAGTTTCCCACTCCCCTTCAAGATTGTTTTAAGGGTCTATTTTGGAGACCCCCCCCCCCCACCTGCCTCTGTTCCCTTGAGTGCCACTGAATAGGCCAGTGTGTTAAACAAATGGATCATCTTTAACTTTTTGATTGAGTGAGCACAGACTAAAGACAACCTGAAACCTAATCCTGAGGGAGCGTAACCGCTCCAAAATGTTTGGCAGATCTCTTGCCCGCGAGGAGCGAACAGAAACAAAGGTGACCCCACAGGGGTTAAGGTTGTGACAGAGCAAAAGAAGCCGCCGGTGTGCTTGTTTAGAATGGATCATTTCAAATGTTTATTTGTTATCCTGTGGAGATCATACAGTCAATTATAGAGTATATTTCATGAACAAATAGTCATTTTCTGTTTAAAATGGACTGTATCAACTTAATGAATGTACTGTAAGTGGTTGAACATATTCATCAAGTAAATGTGTTTCTCCTTCACCTTCTAGCTCTTCTTGTTGTTGAGACAGAAACCTTTGGGAGCCATATTCGAATAAAAGGGAAGGAGAGTGAGTATTACATCTGTATGAACAAGAATGGCAAAATAGTTGGAAAGGTAAGCATTTTCTTAGTTGTTACTCTCTTGCTAGAGAATGGGGCAAATCTAACTCAATTAAATAAAATTAGGCTCTTAATTTTTTGCCTAGTGCCAATAACAGATTCTTTGAGTGACTCCAGTGGATGAAGACATTACTATAACTAACATTAGAAAAATGACTTTTACCTGAAAAGTTTGTTTAGATGTGTGCCAAAGTTCCTCTTAAAGGGAAATCTGCAGTTCCTACATCCATTTTTGGACTTATAAATTAATTATATGTACCCATTGATTCTTGAAGAATATAACTTATAAATGCGTCATGAGCTTAGTTCAACTGTTGAACCCCATTAGGAACTAAAATATACGCTTGTTTTACTCCAATGTTTGTAAACAAAGTAAATGTAAACAGACACTGTATAGCCTCAAAACACAGTTAAAACTATAATTTTGTTATTATGGATGTTCAACCCTTGTATCCATAGCTCTGTCTATGAATTTAAGAGTGGTTACATTTCTCCATCCCCATTCCTCAGCTTTTTACCGAAACCGTGGCAGGGAAACCCATTGTTATTGTTTCAACTGCGGATTTCCCCTTTAAGGATATTTTAGCAAGACTAAGACATCCATTGCTGCGCAAAAATAAAACATAGATATGTATTTAAAAAATTGAGTTTATTTCCAAAACGCTATATCCACAAATATTTCACATTTGTGTTTTTTCATCAGAAATAATAGCTTATGGGTACCTTCATCTGTGTGTAAAATATTACTATTCTCAGATTTTTTATTAATAGACTTTAGTTTTTTTTTTTTGCAAAACCCCTATATATCCATTGTTTAGCTGGAATGGAATGTTTGTGTCCTGTATATTTGACTGTGATATGTGGTTGTCTCACCTAGCTATCTTAAGATGAATGCACTTACTGCAAGTTGTTCTGGATAAGAGCATCTTGTAAATTACTAAAATGTCAAATGTAAATGTTTTACATAGAGATCTCATATTACTGTATTTATTTATTTAACATTTCAATGTTGATGTCCCAAATGTAACATTTGTACAGTTCTTTATTAGAAATGTAGTTATTCGTTACATTTAACTTTGTTAAACCTAGCAGCACTATTTAATTCTCAGAGCCTGGCAGATATATAGCATTTAGAAGCAGAAAAAACATGATTATTTGTCTCTCTGTAATGAATCCATCAAGTGATAGATTTTAAACAAATACATGTCTGTCATTGAACATCCCCGTGCCATGATTAGGTAGTAAAAATATATATGTATATCTCTTTCATCATTTCTTTCAACAATAAAAGCTAATTAACCGACATTTCTGAAAATGGATATATAGCGTTTTGGAATGAAACTCTTCATATGTTCAATTGCCGAACATACAAGCCAGGATGGAGAGTGCTTACTCAGTGCGCCCCTGACAAAAATCTTTTGATAACTCTCTGGCACCCTGTTACGTAACCTGTGCTTTCCTTTTGACACTCCACCAGTCAATTATAGACTGCAATCATCACAATGGTTTAATACAGTTAACAGGCTAATGGCCTCAAAGGACCATTGCCATTGCAATTATACCTCTTGTTCACCAGGTGGTGCCATGTAAAATAGCAGGATGTACACTCCCCTCCGTATTCATTTGGACAGTGAAGCTAACATTTTTAAATTTGGCTCTATACTTCAGCATTTCGGATTCAAGATCAAATGTTTCATATAAGGCGACAGTACATAATGTCACCTTTTATTTGAGGGTGTTTTTATACATATCTAGTCCCCCCCATTTGACTTTTCTTTTGTAAGTATTTGGACAAATTAACGTATAGTGTATTAAAGTACCGTAATTTTCGGACTATAAGCCGCGCCTTTTTTCCCATTTTTCGACCCTGCGGCTTATATAACGGTGCGGCTAATCTATGGATTTTTACAGCTAACGGCCACTAGAAGACCTCCTAAATCTATGGATTTTACAGGTTACAGTCCACCAACTTTAACTCTATGGGCTCTATGACCGGTCCGCGCCCCCCACCTTTAAGCGGCGGGCTCCAGCAGGAAAAGCTGGAGGCCGGAAAAGAGTGAGATAGGTAGCGCGCAAAGTAAAAGTGGAACCGAGAGTGGTACGAGAGACAGAACGAGACAGAACGAGAGCAAGACAGACAGACATTACGAGAGCGAGACAGTTTGTCTCTTTCCCGACAATCCCCTCTGTGCACGAACCCTTACATATGGTAATTAAACATGAAAACACCTGTGGCTTATAGTCCAGTACGGCTTATATATGTACACATCATTCAATATCATTCAATTTAGCTGCTGCGGCTTATACTCCGGTGCGCCTTATAGTGCGGAAAATACGGTAGTCAACTTTTTATTATTTGGTCCCATATTCCTAGCACACAATGACTACATCAAGCTTGTGACCCTACAAACTTGTTGGATACATTTGCCGTTTTTGGATGTATTTTGGATTATGTTTTGGCTAATAGGAACTGAATCGTGAAAAATGTATTGTGTCATTTTGTAGTCACTTTTATTGTAAAGAAGAATATAAGATGTTTCTGAACACTTCTACATTAATGTGGATGCTACCATGATTATGGATAATCCTTAATTAATCCTGAATAATGATGTGTGAGAAAGTTAGAGGAACAAAGATCATACCCCCCAAAAATGCTAACCTCTCACCATTACCAATAACAGGGGAGGTTAGCATGTTTTGGGAGGTATTATGTTTGTTCCTTCACCATCCAAATACAGCTTAACTGTCCAAATACATAAGTATGGGAGTGTATATCACAAAAATGTATAATTCTTTTTAAATACACAGATATCTTAAAACTGACAAATGCAAGGTGTGAAATGTCTAGTAAAGTTTCTGTGTCCTTACAAGAGCCATCCCAGAAACACAATTTAAAAAGGAATGAATAACAACTTTATGCAACTGTAGTAGTTCCATCACTTTCTGGCTTATATGAGATACATAAATGTTTCTTTGGCAGTAGATAAAAAAGGTTTCCTTGATGGTCTGCCATTATGGAAGGCGGAAGTAATTTATTTCACAGTGTTGGAAACCAGGTGCTAAGTGTCTAAAACCATGTTGTTTTCCTTGCAGCGCAATGGTAGGAACCAGGAGTGCGTCTTCGTGGAAGAATTCTTGGAGAACAACTACACAGCTCTCGTGTCGGCCAAGTACAAAGGGTGGTACCTAGGCTTCAACAGGAAGGGGAGGCCCAAAAAAGGATCGCGGACCACACAAACTCAACAGGAAGTGCATTTCATGAAACGCCATCCAAAGGGCAAGGTGGACCCACTGGAAGAGTTCCGTTTCACTACAGTAACTAAGCGGACACGAAGGGCGCGTCGCTTAAAACAGAACCCCAAAACTAACTGATGGGCCGATGGACAGCACACACAAAGTTTTCCAAGGACATCTCAAGCTTCTTGCCTTAAAACCCCTTAAAGACTTCTGTCAAAAGAACGAGAACAAAAAAGAACAAACATTCAAAGATGTTTTATTTTTATATTTCAGGAACATTGAACATCTCCCAAATGTTGGATGTTTCTGGGTTATTATAATTATTATAATGTGTCTTATTTTATTTATACTGGATAAACTAAGGATGACAAAGGACCCTTATCGCTCATCTTCTGCTCCTTAGAATTGCAAACTGAAGGCATCTATCTGACAATGAGGGTGGAAGCATGAGTTTATAAGTGTTATAAAAAGCAAGCGCTAGATTTTATTGGAATACCGGTCAGTTTTGTTTGTGTTACCCCCGACAACATGGATCCCGTATTTCCACTGGAATCAGACGCCATGGAGACGAAACAGAAAGAGGTGACAATGGCAGGTGACACAGTCTACCTAGATAACTGCGTAGCTTTGAGTGCAATATTTGACAGTGGCCATTTTCTCTCCCCCAACTCTACCAGAAGGTATCAACTCTCATCGTGTTGATACCTTCTGCCTGAATCGTGGCCTACTCTGGATGGAATGCGCTGAACACGCTGTGTACAGTGTGATTTCCTTGAAAAAAATTTGTGCAACCTATGATTCAGCTGAACACAACATGCTTTGACTAGCAAGGCATCAGACAGGGTTGTAGTTTTGTTTAACCTGAGTTGATGTGGCTCAGAAGTTAACTGAGACAGAAACACTGACACTATTACAATGGGAAATGTAATATCACACCTTTTGCCTTACTTGTCGTACTGTGGTAGAAAGTTGAAAAAAGCCTAATGAATACTGGACAGCTTCTCAAACATTGATATAGGTCAGAATCATTTTTGACACAGAGCAAGCTATCTGTTGTTATTACCATCTGCATCCACCAATTTTGCCCTGCTTTTCATAGGCCTACAACCAAAAGGTGGCTGGTATTACTGGTTGTTCATGGTGCACCCAAGCACCCATGTTCAAAGAGACATCCCAAAAACTGTTAATCTTTAACATTGTGTTCAGTCAAGCCAGTTATAATGTCAAGAGCACTGAACTGTTCAAATGTGTACTAAGACAGGTATAGATTTATCCTAACCAGCCACGATCTCTGTATTGTAAGACCTAACTCTCAAACCCTGAAAACCATACAACCAGAAATATGCTTAGTTTGGATTCGGGAAACAGACTAGAGCTGGCAAACAGAGGAGTTGTGATCCCTACAGAACATTGTAGATCATTACTATTGATGACAAAGTTCAGCCTCTATTCCTGGGTAGAGCTGTAGTAGCCTATATATTTGTCTACCACCTGACAGGTTTTGTATGAGATGCTACTAACAACATGACACATTTATGTTTTTTGTTTTTTTAAATGTATGCAAAAAACAATTTTATGACTATTATAAGATATTTATTGCCTTTCTTTGTAAATACAATGTGATGAATTTATTTGGCCTCTGTTAATAAAATGAGGACTATATTTAAAAATGGTTTTTCTATGTGTTTACTTCGCTTTGTATTGTAGTTGAGGGGCAAATGCATGCCTTTTCTCTCCAAGACACTGGGATTATATGAGTTCACTGGTAGCTACTATAACATTTCCCCCTTTAGACTATTGCAGGTATCACTTGGTCAGAAATGGAGTACATTCCCTTCTCTACATACTGCCAAGGTATGCATTTTCGTATACTATACAAACCTAAAAGTGTGAAGACTGCTTTTAACAGCAGTAGATTTCTAGGTTGAGAAATGTTGCATTGCGTATTCATTGTAAGAGCTATTCTAAGGATTGGAAATGTGTTGTAAAGGCTGACAAGTTTACTATAACCTAACCATGAACTTTGATAGTACATTAGCTGTGTCTGTGCCAAGACAACATCCAACAGAACTTAGATGTTAGTAGTTACTCACTGGGCAGTGGCACAGATCAGTTCAATGTCTAGTTTTGATTTACATTTGGTTGAGTTGTCAACTAACATGAATTCAACGTGAAATCAACCACACATTTCACCATGTCATTGGATTTAGGTTAAAAGTTGGTTGAAAAAAGATGAAATTCTCTTACGTTGATTACTTTTTGCAAATCCAATCAGTTTTCCATGTTGATTCAACGTCAACACATTGACATTTTGGGGTGAAATGAAGTGGAAACAACATTGAGACAACCAGTTTTTGCCGAGTGGGTAACTCTCATCACCTCTTTAATATTTGGATAGAGTTTATGTTTTAGGAACACTGTATGTATATGCACTGTGTACAAGTGCTAAATCGTATTGGGACTGTAAGGCAATTTTGTGTACAAGGAGCAAAAGTAATTTGAATTTGGTCCACTTGATACAAATATCATTTTTTATTAATCTAACGTCTGGGTTTAGATGTGGGCTTGCATAACCTTTCACATTATGCAAATGTATATAATTACTGGGATGTCCTAAACTTCCATGGGATGTTATGCGGACATCAAAATCAAGGCCGGAAACCAGGCTGAAAGGAGTTAGTTTTATGTCTCCTAAGAACTTTGTCATAATCCAAAATATGGAAATATGGAGAGATATTTTGTGTAGCGAGTGTTCCAATTGACACCTTACTGGCACAACTACAGTATATCAAGAAAGAGGATATTTTGCCATGAGGTTGAAAGACAAGGAATGTTGAGAGAATAGCAGAGAACTCTGCTGTGAACTTTCTGTTATTCTGAAGTTTCACAGAAGTATTTTATTAGAAATACTATAACTGAACCTTGTGCTACTCTATTACAAATGATGCCACTTTTATATAAATGTTGTGAGCTTTCTTTTGGCAAAAGCGTTTGAGACATTTCTCCCCCTAAAAAACAGGGTGAAGGAATGTGGAATAGCATGTCTTATAATGTTGTGCGCTGGAATGGTGTTTACAGTAACCGTCAGACTGAAAGATGGCAGTTTTGAGGAAAAAACGTATTTTGTTTAACTTCCTACTGATGTTATCAGACACACAGCAGTCTGCTTAGCCACCTAGCTACACCAGATGAAGACGCTATTCCGTCATTGGATTTAGAGGTCGCATACATGTCTCATACTCTGTCTGCTTTTAAAAGTATTATTTTACGTGGCATGAAGTTTCTCCATTAACACCATGTCTAGGCAGAAGATCTCATTACTCAAACCAGAACTCAAAGAAACTAGTATTCCATTCATTTGAGTATGGTTTTTAGGGATGCTCAGTCATGCATTGCAGTGTCTCATGGCCAATTCTTTTCATGTACGATACTCGTACAATACTCGTACAATTTAATTATGGAATCCCCTAACAGGTTCATACAGACCAGGGTGGGAAATTTGTCAATTTAGTTTATCCGAATACAGATATTGTGCCTGTGCACTCCTGAGTGGCGCAGTGGTCTAAGGCACTGCATCGCAGTGCTAACTGTGCCACTAGAGATCCTGGTTCAAATCCAGGCTCTGTCGCAGCCGGCCGCGACCGGGAGACTCATGGGCGGCGCACAATTGGCCCAGCGTCGTCCAGGGTAGGGGAGGGAATGGCCGGCAGGGATGTAGCTCAGTTGATAGAGCATGGTGTTTGCAACGCCAGGGTTGTGGGTTCGATTCCCACGGGGGGCCAGTATAAAACATATATATATATGTATTCACTAACTGTAAGTCGCTCTGGATAAGAGCGTCTGCTAAAATGTAATGATGAAAGAATGATATGCATATTAATGATGTCCCTCAACAATCTGGTATGATAGAGAAAGAAGAGAGATGTAATCCAAATAAATAGAGGTTGAGGGTTGTCTAAACGAGCAGCACCAATGGTAACAAATGTATTGAACCTTTCGGAATGAAGGGAAGACATTTTGTATAAACCTCCTGCCAAGCCTTTCTTTGAGTTAACCTTTGATCACTGAAGGATAGACTTGGAACTGAACCAATAACTTTCAACTGAAACATGAAATCCTCTTTCCAAATCTCTTCTCCAGGGAGCTGGATCTCTAAAGGCAGTAGTGGCAAAATAGTTTATTCGATAATCAGATTTTTTTTTTTCATAGTGACATTTTTTCCAAATTATTCTTTATTAACTCAATGCAGCTCATAACATCATCCATCAACATACAACAACATATTAAGAATGACATTACAATGGCCTCTGTCACTGTCTTGAGAAAATGTGTTCTATTTGTGGTGGCACATAAGTCAAACGAATGTCAGTGGAATAACCAACGTGTTCCTCAGAATTCAAGCATCAGCAACCACAAACTGAATAAGAAGCCCTGTCAACAGAAATTTGGTGGCACACTATTTGAGACATAGAACAACCTTTGTCTCTCAAAGACTACTTAACTTGCCCTCAGGTTAGAGAAAAACAAAGGCAAAACCAAAATGGTAACCAAGCTCTAATATAGTGATTTTACATATGCCATTTACTGTAGATCTATGTCACGTCATTTACCATCAAGACACCGCAGTCTTTCTTATTCTAGCTAAATGTTAAACCGCACTTGACTGGTCTTCTTTTATGACTGAAAAATCCACTGGGGGAACATTTTGTGATTCTCAATGTTTTTAATGTTTGTCTTTGAATATATAGCTGAGCAGTGTTTTTACAGGATTCTAAATCTGCTTATATACTATTTTTTCTTGAAAACTGTCTGTTTTCTTTGAATAATAGATTTTCATGTAGTATTTTGCGCCTAGGCGGCAGGTAGCCTAGAGGTTAAGAGCATTGGGCCAGTAACCGAAATGTCTATTGTTCGAATCCCAAGCAGACTAGGTCAAAAATCTGTCGATGTGCCCTTGAGCAAGGCACTTAACCCTAATTGCTCCTGTAAGTTGCTCTGGATAAGAGCATCTGCTAAAATTTAAAAAAATAATGGATAAGTTACAAACTGATGTTTTGGGGTCTTCTTGATGGGTAGCTGCTATGAAGCACTGTTGCTTTAGCCGTTATTGATAATATTTTGATGATAGTTGATATATAGTACATGTGAAAGTATTAATTTAATGGATTACATCATTTAAATAAAATACTTACATATACAGTGCCTTCAGAAAGTAATCACCCCTTTTACTTTTTCCACATTTTGTTGTGTTACAGACTGAATGTTAAATACTAACCTAAAATTACAGAGTGAAAAGAAGGAAGCCTGTAAATAATACAACTATTCCAAAACATGCATCCTGTTTGCAACAAAGCACTAAAGTAATACTGTAAATAATGTGGCAAAGAAATTAACTTTACGTCCTGAATATAAAGTGTTATGTTTGGGGGAAATCCAATACAACACATTACTGAGTACCACTCTCCATCTTTTCAAGCATTGCATTGTTATGGGTATGCTCGTCATGGGCAAGGACAAGGGAGTTTTTTAGGAGAAAAAGAAACAGAATGGAGTACAGGCAAAATCCTAGAGGAAAACCTGGTTCAGTCTGTTTTCCAACAGACACTGGGAGACAAATTCACCTTTCAACAGGACAATAACCTAAAAAACAAGTCCAAATCTACACTGGAGTTGATTACCAAGACGACACTGAATGTTCCTGAGTGGCCTAGTTACAGTTTTGACTTAAATCAGCTTGAAAATCTATGGCAAGACTTGAAAATGGCTTTCTAGCAATGCTCAACACCCAACTTGACAGAGCTTGAATTTTTTTAAAACAATAATTGGGGCGAATATTGTACAATCCAGGTGTGCAAAGCTTTTAGAGACATACTCAAAAAGACTCACAGCTGTAATCGCTGCCAACGGGGTTTCTAACATGTGTTGTCTCAGTGGGGTGAATAGTTATCTCATCAAGATATATTTGTGTTTTATTTTTCATACATTTTTCATAAATGTTAGTATTTTCTTCCACTGTGACATGAGAGTATTTTGTGTAGATCATTGACCAAAAATGACAAATTAATCCATTTTAATCCCACTTTTTAACACAACAAAATGTGAAAAAAGTGAAGGGGTGTGAATACTTTCTGAAGGCAATTTTTCCTAGATTTGTTGTTGTTATTTACAGGGATTTTTTTAAAACTGGGATTTTTTATTGCGCAATGATCTCTTAAAGCACTCTCCAGGCTTTGGCCCTTCATGCATATCTCTTCACATCCTTGGCAGACACAACCTTCTGGGTACCCCCCCCCCCAGAAAAAAAAGGGACCCCCAGAAGGACTTCCATAGTCCATAGTCCTGAATACCCCCCTGTCCCCCCAATACTCCCCCCTTCTCCCCTCCCACCATCAGCAGCTGCCAGGTGACACACCTCATTAACTTCCCCTTTCTCCTATTCTCTTGGGCCCTCATTGTCTTGAGATATGAGATGAGCCTTTGTTGCGATTTTTGCCCTTTTTTCCTTGGGCAGTGGAGGGCCCATAATTAGTGCTTTGCGCTGGGCGTACTTTCTCACAGGGCTACGACACAATTAATCAGCATTTTCCCACCAATGGGCAAAAGCCCCTTGACTCTTTCAAGGCCGAATCTGAGCCTCTTCAAA